CATCAAAACTCAGACTGGACTCTACCAGAAAGACGTTTTTCTCAAGGTTAATGTAGAAGTACGAAGTCTGACTACTACTAATACTTTGCCCGAGCCTGGTGCCTACTCATCATCTCATGTCAGCCTTCGTTGAACTACATGACTTTTCATTTCTGATTCAAAGTCTGATCAGTCTTCTTAGGTAGGGATACAATCAGTTTGAAGAATAATTTGGCTGGGTTTAATGGTTGTTCTATTGACCGCACGGACATAAGTAGAATTTTGAATTTGTATTCAGCGACGGAGATTTATTATTATTATTATTCACAAACATCTTATGGGTACATAAGTGTTGTGACTAAACCATTTCGCGTTTCTTCAAAAAATTCAATAATACACAATTTTCAATAATGTCAGCATTATACTTGCCATATTTAAAAAAAATTTAGAGCAATAATAGTAGAATATTAATAATAATAAATCGGGTCTGTGCAATTGAGAATATTGAATTGAGTTTAAAGAAGGAAATGGAGAAAATAAGGAGACGTGAAATATGCAAACAGTCTAATAGGCGTGTTTATGAACACAGAGCAAGAATAAACGACTATGTGTGTATCGTTAAATTAGTAACAAAAGTAATTAAGAAAAAATAACTTATAATTGCAGTAAGATAAGACGCTAGAATAGATGTTTGTGTAGTTATAGTTTGGAGTGATGCGATGAAAGTCTCAACTGAGTGAAAAGGATAATAAAATATCAATATGTATGAGACATATGTGCATAGTGAATATAAAACAGGTCTGAGAAGTTAATGTAAATATAACACAAGTTATTGTCTTAATTACAAACTCCATAATCCTACGATCTACGGTTTCTTTAGGGAGTTGAATGGTCTTACAATGAGGTGGTTTGGCTTCAGTTCACGTAGCATCAGCTTTCAATGGACTGAAAATTGTGTTAGACAAGTGGTGGTACGTTGGTTGATTGTGACATTTTTGTGAAATCCTCCAGACATGACACGATCTTTCAGTCACGCAGCTGTCTGATTTTTAAAGGGTTCAATTACAGTATAAATCAGTTCAGATCCTAGTTGGCGTCCACGATCAGCTGTTGTTGTTGGATGGTAACGACAAATACACATTTACATTTACCCCGTCGATTACGAGTATCTTCAGTACATGTTACAGTTAAGCTTTTTCTCACACATTAAACACCATCGTTCAAGCGATTTTCTCAAATTTGAGTTAGACATGGTAAAATATGGGCCGTAAGAGATGCGTTCAGTGGATCAGTAAACAACCAAGAAGCAACTGGTGTGGTAGTTCTCACAGAGCCCAAGCTTATATGTGGTAATCAAGCTAAGGCCCAGGAAAACGATATGCAATATTGACGTTCGTTATCACGTAGAATAAGCTTCCACATCATCACAATAATTAGCGTAGATGAAATACCTCTTTCGTCACATCTCCTAACCAATAAGTTCCTGCGTATGATGGGGGGGACATAAGGAGACTAATTGGTAAACTAGAAGAAATCAGAATCATGTGCCTTCAGTTAGATCCGAAAATCATATCCCTTACTAATAATAATATGTACCTGCACATGCAGAAATATACTATTATTACCATTATTATACGAATATGATCACAGATGAAGAGTAGAGATTTCGGGACATAACATTTTTTCTGTACGATATTGTTCAAAAACGTTAGGTGGAGTGGCGGTATACGTTAACGGTCAACTCGAAGTCGTAACACTGAACAACATTGAGCTATCTGAAGTGACAGAACCATTCCTGCGTTACTGTGATGTGAACGAAACAACGTCCTTGACTGGAGGAATATACCGCCCCTCACATGTTCTGATATCCAATGCGATGTGACACAGGGGCTACAACACCTGAGTTTTACCGAATACCACTAGCTGTAGACTTCAGCACTCCATCCCTATATCTCAGAAAGCACTAAACAACTTCCGCAGTGTGGTTTCATAGGCGGTACGCCACAGCCATCGAAAGTTCATATCTGACTGAACATGTGAGTGGCACCACGAGCTGGTAAAAAGATAAAAGCCGTCAACTTAGATTATTTGCCGAAAAATGATCAACCTCTATTTGAAGATGCCAATGTCCACGCACCAATAGTAAGTGGTAGTCATGATTCATTCATGCTGAATGTGGTCAAAAAAGATATACTTGAGAGTGACAAAAGTGTTTTCCACCTTTGCGGATTACACGACGATGAGGAAGCGTATTCAACGAGCTTCGTGGCCACAGGAGACTAACAGTGCATGACCACTGTGAGGTTGCAAGGGATATCATTCGGGATGGCACTCAATACAAAGTACCTCAAAGTTAGCGCACACGCAGAAAGCGAAGACCCTGGTTTAAGCGATGCACAGAACAACTGCTACAAGCCAAACGGAGAGCCTGACACAAGTGGAAAGTTTCCTCCAAGGATATTTATCGTAGCGTCTACGTAACATTGAGAAACAGATGCAACGCCAAAGTTCAAAGCGATAGGAGATACTTCCAGGCCAAGCTAGCAGCCGCAATGCGAACTAACCACAAATCTCGGGTTTTTAGTCTTATCGTTCTCCAACCGACTTGTATGGCATGGTAGGACCTAAAGAACATGTGTTCTAGCCAGTATAGCTTGGCTGAGTGTTCACGATTGGCCAACCCGACCGCCACGTGAAGGCAAAAGCTACGGTTAGGCATCCAGTGGGCGAGACCATAATTTATGGATGGACCAATCAAACAAAAGACAACGTTTTCTGGATTTTGGTGTGAAGTTTATTTATTGATTTGGTTAAATAACGTTTTGGAGTTTTAGCTGATATCATTTCGTAGTGAAATCCCTGATTCTAATTCCAAATCTAACCATCACCTGTAAATCAAAATTCTACTTCCTCTCTTTACCTTATAACCCCCAGTCGGTCCTAGCTAGTAGGTAAACATTTTCAGGGTAACTTTAGGGTCGATCAAAGGTTGTCCATAAGTCATAGTCTCACCACTCGACACAATCCTGAAAAAGTGAGTGAAATCCATGGGCACATCAATGTGACCTGTTCAGGCACTCACTAGATTCCTAACAACTCCGAAGATAATGTATGTTACTTTTGAAACAGAAAAGGCGTAGCCCTTTACAGGCCAGTCGCTTAACTTTCAGTACTTTTGAAGTTATCTGAAAGACTGGCCAATAAACAAATAAGGAAATGCATAGATAAAAACGGCATGCTGTATGAAGTTCGACACAGGTTCAATGAAGGCCGGTCATATGCGTCCAATCTACTCATAGCACAGGAAAGCTGGACGATCTGTTAGGACCGAAAGATAACGGTTCATGCAATATTCCTGGATTTCACAATGGCATTTGACAAATTACCTCATGTACTTCTCATAAAGAAGGTTTCAAAAATGTGATTCACGGAACTCCTATACCTTGGCTGTGAAAATGTCTGGGGAACAAGATTTTTCATACTAAGTTAAACACAGTGCACGCGTATCTGGAGCTCTCAACACCAGGGGCTTCACAAAGAATGATCTTAGGTCCATTCTTAATCTTGATCGTTATTAACAACCTGTTGGATAAAATGGGCTCGGTGACACCAATCTGTCCAGATGACGGAAAGATCTGGAGGTCTGTGAAAAGCAAAACGGGTTCATTCGAGCCTTGAAAGGACCTTGCAACAACGAATCCAAACTCACTCTGCCGAAATGTTATGTCGCAAACATTCTGCTTCATTCAACACAAAGCATTTCAAACCTCCATACACATCCGCCCCCGACTGTTTCCACAAGGCATGAGCTCGAGCTCGTAGCCACAAAGAGCTTAAACGCGAACCGAAACTAAATGCGGATGCAGTCAAGGCGAACGAAACTCCTTACTTTGTGCTAAAGCAAGTTGGCGCGATTACCTTGGATTTATTTTTCATACTGTCACCTTGAAGTCCACAATATCGTTGCGCTTTCTCTCTTCAAAACAGTTATAAATCTCTCAGGCTAAGTAGAGACGGGCGACCAAGTGACTGATAGGTGTAAATAACAAATCTTACGACGACAGACTCCAACACCTGAGATTATTCTCGTTGGGCCACAGGAGAATAAGAGGCGATCGGATAATGACATACAACATATTATATACGCCAAGCCCGCCCCCAACACATGTGTATTACCAGAGCATCATCGCCACGCACCTCGAGGCAACACTCGGAAGATTGGACATCAAAACGATAACACCCAAGTATGATCTCGCTTTTCCCTAGGAGAGTTTCTTTTATTTAGAATGTTTTCCCAGTTAGACAAACACGAACTCATCCATAGATTACTACATCCCTCTTAAACCAGCTGTTTCTGATACATGCCACATAAGTTACCACGATTAACACCACCGCATATCAGCAACGACTTCCTATGTCTCTTATTATCACCTCCGTTTGCCTTCTTATTCTTCCATTACTGTCTTTTCATAAATTAGCAAATAACTTGTCTATTATTGGAACTATCGTATTCTCTTAGCACTCAGATTATCGCTTTACTACTTTTGTTTTAACTTCAAACAAACCCCTTCCTAGTAATGTGATAGCTGCTTTTAACCAGAAACTCTACTGAGATAAAAGCACTCAGACTACAAGATATACAAATCCACAGATAATTACCAGACTGATTAGAATTAGTGCAGTAGAGTGACAAGACTGTCACCCATAGGAAGTAACGAAATGCCTGGAGCCATACCGAGACAATAAGAAGTAAGAACGAAGAAGTCAGTCGGTTAATACAAGCTCGTAACCAAGATATTGGATCGTGGGTATACTTACAAGTCGATTTATTTTGGGCAACTAGTCGTAGCCTAAGGCTGATATAAAATCACAAATATTTTCATCATCTTCCTGCCATAAAGATGAAAAGGAGAAAATGAACTGGTTTAAGTAACCTTGTCATAAATATGTTGGATTTTATTGAATAGCCTTGGAGCACATCCCGATTGACCTTGACGAACTGAGCAATCATATGGAATACCATGAATAATAGTTCTTCAGAGCTTGTGAACACAACACATATCTTACCGAATCTAACAACCAGTGAAAAATACTTATTTGCTACTTCTGCATATGCTCAAATAATTGCTTGTTTATGTGCACTGTTGTCATCCGTGATTACATTTCATCAAGTAATCCATTTGATTCACTTTTAACTGCTGTAGATGTACTTTCACCTCAAAAATTACACCTGTGTTTCTGAACAACGATACATTATACGAGTGTTGATTTTAGTGCCCGCCTATGCCATCTATTCATTTCTAAGCGTTTTGCTTGCTATATATGCGATGGTGGACAGTATATACATCGACTTTATACACGACATTGCAGAAGGTAGTTGGTTCGTCTATTTGCTAACTCCCCAGCATTTGCGATTTACAGTTTTTTAGCTTTGTGTTATCAGTATCTTGGAGGGGAAGGTAATATTATGTTAGAGCTTACTGGAAAAACGATCAAGTAATTACCAGGATCATTAGACTGAGCGTTTTAGTTTCAGTTTACTTTATAGTACATGCTGCTTCGCTGGAAAACCATACACCATATTGTTTCTACGGTTTTGCAAAATAGTAAGTGTTATGACATACCATTCTTCTGGTTAGTTCTAAAAATAATGTGATAATTGTGTATAATTAGGGGAAGACTATCAAAAAGTCGTCCTAGCCTTCTCAGACGGTTTAGATTCATGCAATACTATGTATATAAGACCTGGGGAACCAATCTTTAGTTATAGGTGCCATTTATTGGGAACTTTATTCTTAGTCAATTTTTACCATTTATTTGATGTCATGCTAGGCCGACGGTATCAAACTGCCTGAATAGTTGTTGAATCAGTTTCTTAGAGTCCTATATACTAAGTCGGTTCCTATCTGTTGCTCTTTATGTTCCTTAATCTATAAGCTTGTTACGTTTACTTTGGTTTTTGTTTTCTTGTGTAATTAAAGTATTTATCTATACCTTTATATGTCTTAAAATAAGTCTCACTCCTCATTCTTTTGTGTAGATAGACATCTTTAATGAATTTATACACGAAATCCGTTTGGCTGGCATAAGCTGTTGGCTTCCTTTTTATAGCCACAACTTTTGATCAGGATAGCCACGACGGAGAATGACCGTGTACTTTATTCAAAAATTTCGTGCATTTAGTTCGTCTTTTACAGATGATGTCCTTGCCAGACCATTCTAAATAATCAGATAATTATCCCCTACTTCATATAACACGTTACTTACCTTCATTTCAGTCCATGAATTTACGTACTGTTTCCTCGTATATTCATTTTCTATGTCTTACGCAACCTGACGCATGTTCAAATTAATGCAATTCTCCACACCACATCGGCACAGTTGGACGCCAGATTGGTACAAATAGTAACGGTATTAGGGGTACTAGAAAAGTTTAGACATGAAGGACATTGGAGAAAAAACATGGAATCATGGAATCCAAAAGTTATAAAATAGTTTCGGGGCTTGGGATTTAAGAAAAGACAGTGATTGTAACTGAGTCACCAGTTTCTGATCCATACCACTTCAAGTCTCCAAACACGGGTTACGATAATCTTATGAACCCCAATCAGGTGGTCTGTACTTACCTTCATGGCTCAATCCATTTGTTACTGACTACATGAACTGATGCCATGTTTCGCTTTGGGCATCTTTGGCTTTCAGCATTTTTCTACATCAGGTGTCGTTGCGCATCGTCGACAGGGATTCATGACGTGATAAACCGGTTTGCCACCCGTTAACAGCACCCCAATTCTAATTTCAGGATTGTTGGTTCAGTAGTTCTTTCACCCACAACCATTACTTCGAATACTAGTAATACAAGGATATCTATTGTTAAATGCTATATTTCAGTCATAAAGAACAGGATAAACTGCTACCCAGTATACTTGCCCTTTAGTTGGTAGATCTATGTATCGTTTACTTCACAAGTGATGCAAGTTGGCAGAAGCTGGCCAAGCTTTCTGAATGTGTCGATATTTCACCATGCACCAACCCATCGTGGCTAATGAAACCTCCAAGATAAGTGAAGTGTTCAATGCCCTCAACTACTTCACTCTTCATCATCGCCTTAGGTGTTGGTGCAGACCAATTCTGAAGCAACATCTTGTGTTCGGATAAGCATTTCAAATATGGTTGCATTGTTGCTCAAGGTGATCCGAGGATTGGATCTTGTCAGTGCCCTCGCCAAACAGGACTATGTCATCTGTGTATTGTAAGTCGAAAAGTGAGTAACGTAGTACGAGTTCGACCCCTGAGAGTTTAGGTAAAGCGTTGTTTCTTGGAGGACATCTATGACAGAATGAATTAAAGGAGGAAACAATTGTCAACCCTAAGGGAAACTGCTTAGCGTTAACATTTCGAAAATCATTTAGTCACAAGCTCTAATCTGACTCCTGGTATTCGAGTAGAGAGCCTGTTGAAGGTTGATGTACCTGTTTAGTAAGCCTTTCAGTGACAAATACTGCCACAAGAACTCTCGGTCTTCGGAACCGAACGCTGTCTTATGGTCAAGAAATACAGCTCTAGTTGGGAGTCTGTAGGTTTGTTTGTGTAGATAGCTCATATATACGTTGACTATTTCCATGTTTTTGGTCATCGTGCAACAAAATGTCGTATGAATATTTTCGTTAGTTTTAAATCTATGCCAGTATGATGTTAGCTTAACTCCCAATTTTTGCGACAATATCGAGTCGCTTAAAACTCCAATGCAGACGCAATATTTATCGAAATGTTAGGAATTCGGTATTTAACTAGACAATTTACCTTCTAACATTAAATTCCTTCTGGTATCTTTGTGGTTTAAAGGCTTGGTTGTTGGAAAATAATAAAAATTATTTATAGGAAAATTTTGCTGAAGTGTCATTCAGTAATTGTTTGTCCTCTATATTACACTTATGCACTTAAATTTTGCACTGTCTCATCTGGTTTGTAGTAACAATATTATCATTGTTAGAACCATATCAATAAAAATTTTGGTTATTAACGTGTATAAATTATTTTTATTCTGAATATGTGACTAACACTAGATCATAGAACGTCAAAACTTATTATTTACAATCATTGGGACATCATGGTTTCATTCTAAACAAATTCCCCAAGTTGTAATAAGCTGGGAAAATATTGCCATATCTTGATCGTAAAGTCCTATTTAGTGTATTATCTTGGGAAGGTAAATAACAGTATTAAGTTTATAATACAATTAAATAATTTATATATTTCATAAACTGGAGTTTGTTTTGTTTATGAATTCACATTTTTTTGTGAGGCTGTGCTATCCAGATATATGCTTGTATATATTGTATATTTGTTTTTATTCTGAAATTTTTATTTGAAGGCTACTCTTCAGTATACTTTGATCAAACCAGTTACTTCATTCACGTCTATGATACTAATGGCTACAAAGAAGTATATCGTTGGTGACTTTGGGTAAGTGAAGAAACTCCAACTAAATAATATTCAGTCACCTAATAGTAAGTGATGTAGTATCATGGTACATAGTACAAAGCACTGGTAAAGCATGTCTATCAACGAGTGTTAATGTTTAGTGGATTCGTCTTATTCTTCAATAAAGTATGAACTTTCTCAAGCTAGTGGATATGGTAGTTATTTCAGTTTAGTTTGTTAAAGACAGACTCAGTTCACACTGTTATCTTTTTTAAACATTTGAGCCTTCCTGTTATCACTCGCCGTTGTAGAATTCACCAAGAATAACTTAATCGATGTAGTTATACTATTTTTGTCTTAGTAATTTTCTAGTAATAATAGTTATGAGAATGGATCAGTACATAGTACGGTGTGATTGTTTTGTCACAATCGCAGAATTTTATGTGTCAAATCTTCATATATTAAAAATACTGTATTGCTAGTCATGCCTTTAACTTAAATGTCCCGTTTTCAGTTTTATGACAGTTAATTTTGTTTCCTCAGAATAAATACCTCATTGTGTTGTCTTCGTGTTACAAACAGAATATTTTGTATTAGTACTGTTATTTCATTCGTATATATTCTGTCAAATTCTACCATAACAATTTCTTTTTCAAAGTTATTTTGTGAATGTTGCAATTAAAAACCTATTATTTATAAAAAAACATGCCATCGTGATCCATAATTATTAGTTTTAAGGTTCAAATCCAGTCTCTATAATTCATCCTCTGAAGTTGTTTCATCTTTCAAATAATGTAAATTGATTTCTGTAACACTTACATCTCGGCAATTATTTAGTTACTTATTTATTCCCACCAAGTAATAAAGGTTGACCGTGTGATTTTCCCTCACGGACTTTGTATTCTTCTAAATAATTAGTTCGAAAACACAGATTATGATATATGTGTACATATTTCTACTTTATTACTTTCAGTCCTACATCAGGCTATCTGTATTTGTTCCTGATTAACAATGCCACTGTAACTCTTGCTGTTTATGGTCTATTGTTGTTTTATTTTGCAACTCGGGAGCAATTGAAACCATTCTCACCATTGCTCAAATTCGCTACCATTAAATCGATCATCTTTTTTAGTTTTTGGCAAGGTATGTTAAGTTATTCTTATATCTAGTAATATTATTGTAAACTGTGTAATAATTTCAATTTATATCTAATGAAAGATCACTGATCTCTTATTAAAAACGTAAAGAACTAAAAAAGTATACGAAACATCTGTAACTGTAAACCGAGTATTCAGCAAATAATGTTACGCATACATATTTTGTAAATGTATGTTTTTTTATTATTGTAAGTAACAAATATTTTATGATGTTACATTCCCAGTCTTCACTAAATTGTCATGGTTGTCACTACTTATTTAATTTATTTAACTCAGTAAATTAACGCTTTTTTGTATCCTAGGTTCTAAATCACACATTTCTATAAACGCTACACAATTGTACTAGCTGACGTGAAATATGTCTGTGATCTAATTATTAAAAGTTAAATGCCTTAAAGATTAACATACACCCCAGCTAATTAATATTGGTTAACTGTTCTGATTTGTGACAACAAACAGAATGAAGTTTGGGACTTAGCTATGTCACATTGTATAGCAAATCCATCTTCTTAGTTCTAATTTAAATTATGCCTTCAAGTTATAATTTTTAAAGCAAGAATGAAGAGTTGGTTTCTTAAGATTATGTTAAATAGTTTATGTTTTTGTTTTCTGTATTTAATAGATGTATTATTCAGTATTCTAGAATGGAGTCATGTTATAAACATGACAAGTGGATATTCAGCGACGTTAATTGCTGGTATCTACAAAAATTTATTAATATGCATTGAACTGGTTATTGTTGCAATTGCACTACGTTATGCATTTCCCTATAGTATTTATGTGTTACAGTAAGTTTGAGGTTTATTTATACTGAATATTAAAACTATGCATATATATTTTGTATCTGGAAGTGACTCTTAATAATCATTAATTTGCTGTTAAAATTTGTAAAAAGTAATTCGCCTTGCGAAACAGTTCTCAGATAAAAAGAATATTTAGACGGGGTAAAGAACCTTTGACTACTTACAACCAGTCTTGAAGTATTTTTGGTGGTGTTCGTTTGTCTTCTGATTTATCCGGTCGTCAAACTTCGACTTATGGTTGGATTCGGTGATAAACTTTTGCCAAATAAGAATAACTAACCTTATGGGATGAAGCAAATTTATTACAATTCGTGTGCTCTAAATTTGTATAAATAAATTGAACATTTTACAAGCGCACTTTCGTGTGATAACACTTATAAAGTCATTTGGCTCATTAGTAAAAAATAATTATAAATACTTTCCATATTCATACAAGTTCAGTTTATAAGTGCACGGATTAAGCGAAGGAGAGACCATGACGTAATACGAAAAATAACGAAAGTGATAGTAATTATCAAAAAACAATTAGGAAACTGATTATAATAGTGATAATAATAATAATGTACACGTTTCATACGAAATTACATTTTGAAAGTTGGATTCACGAGTCAATCTAAGCTAAACCACCATTGAGAACCTGACTACAATACACACCTTTTTAGAGGGTAAACCAATTTACATTAGTTTAGACGAAGTTAAAAATGATAGCTATTAAGATCGTTTTAAAAGGTACATTGTTTGTCAAAGTATAAACTCTTCAAATCTAACTTATACTCATACTAAATACATTGATTTTTTAATTATCACCCGTTTTTTACATCTAATTGACCAAAAGATTCTAATAAAATTCACTGACGTTATTTCCCAAAACTACCAAATTTATGTGATCATGTAGCTTGAACAATTAACATTCAATCAAGGAATACGTCTACACATCAGAATATTATTTTACTCCTTGATCCGACAACAACAGATTAGATGGAATTAACTTGGTTCTCTTAATTACTGTAATAAATTGATATCACTTATGTATGTATCCTTTCTATATATAGCCATCCACCTCGCCTTGTTTTTGACTTACCTTCAAACGACTCTTTCTGGTCTAATGATGAATTTCTGTTTGCTACAAAACCGTCTGTGGGTTTTAAATCATCGAAAGACTCAACGGTATTTAATTCAGTCAAAGACAATTCATCACATTTCACACCGGCAACATTTGTCAGTTATGCACCATCAACAATATGTGCTGAACCATTACCATGGGATATTGTTGATCCACAAGTGAACAATGGTGGGTTTGAAAAAACATGGAATACGAAAAATTCAAGTGTAATTCCAAGTATATCTGCAAGTATCAAGGCAACTATTGATCCTACAGATATACTTGTTGATGCAGTTCACAATTTTCATCCTACTTATCGTCATTATACTCAGGTAATTCTATTTGTGTGACAAGTATTTCTGCAGTATTACATACCTTTCTAATTTTAATATTTTCCATTCTCTTGTTGGTTTTTGTGCATTGTGAAGTGTAAATACTAGAGCTAAGTATCTTTCTACTTCAAATCCATCACTTCTTTAGTTTATCATCAAACTTGGCTTTTAAATGATAGTTACTCAACAATTTTTATGCGTTGGAAAGTCCCTCAAAGAGTAAGTACTAAATTAATATGATTTTGTTTAGTGGTTCGACGAATTCCCTTGACTACAGATAAAGAGCCATATGTTCTTTATTTATACTGGCATAATAGGCTGTCAAAAAAACTCAAACAAAATGCAATGATCGCATTCTGAAGCGATAGAAGAGAATAAGATCGTATTTAATTATTAAATAAGGATAGTACGTAATGAAAGATATGGTTCAGTTAAAAATATTACCATTTTTCTACATATAAGGAGGTTTATCTTGTTCATATGAAGAGTGTGATAGAAAACTAAAACTTGATTGTCACCGTTCTCTTTCTGAGCCGTTTGGTAACGTTTCAAATCGGTGAGTTGTATGATCCCTAGTTATCTAATTAGGGAATTACGGTAGACCAGTATATGCAATTCTTATACAGCTACCTTTCTCATCATGACTCATTATCATAAAATGACCCCCCTCTACAACGTTTCGTTCAGTTCTGCCGTCTCCAAATAGTGCGTGGTGTGAAAATCGCTGAAACGACGTTCGTTCAAGCCACGGAAGATCATGCGTTTGAACACATATTGCCAGACCTTGGATCATTTACGCGGTTTTGCCACAGGTCACAAATAATTTTTCAGAAGCAATGATGATTAAACACAGATTTCCCAAACATAATCAACAGGGAAGGACCAAGTCGCACAAAAACAACCAGTTAGTTGTAATCTGATACATATGTATGTTGCCCCAATGTGTCATACTGTATTACCGTTATGAGATGAAACGAACAAGATAAGTAGCAAAACCGTAAAAATAATGTAATAGCGACAACAACAAAAAAGAGTAAATATAGAGGGTCTGATTGTATGCCCTTTGACCAATAGGTTTTCGTACAGAGCCTTCAAAATTTTGATAAGTGTCAGAGGCAAACGTTTCTTCAACGAACACTTTACAGTCCTGTTCATCGAATCAATGACGGCCGTGATATCAAGGAACAACGATTTTTGATTTCCAACAAGTGTTTCCGTGTTCAAGTATTCGGTGCAGGTTGAAGATGTGGTCAACGCATCCGTAACCTAAACGGAAACCGGTCTACTCACAAATCAGTCATTTAAGAGTTTCGCACACTCTACGAAGTATGGCAAAAGCCTATGGTTTAAAAGTATATAAAAGCCTTGAACCCAGCTTGAGTCGGTATTTAGTCATAATGGTAGGTGCACTTAACTTATTTATATCAATCCCTTTTAGAAAGATTTATGTGTTAGCTACTTATTATCCAACCTGAAACTAAAGAGTCCACTTGGCACCAAAATATCTGTTGGGCGTGCTCTATTGAAAAGATTATCAGACTAATAATAGAATTCATCATTTAATACATCCGGGCTGCGATTCTTCAACGCGTATTTGGACGTTTCAGAAACATTGCCTCCATACCTGTTTCTCTTGAATCTTGTAGAGGCTCCCAACAGTGAATATTAACAGTAAACCAGTCTATTATTAAAAGACTAATATTTAAACGCAGAATATTCTTTTCGATAAATTCTCTTCAGGTTCTATAGTTGTCTATCCAAATTAATAATCTGAAAAATGGCCAGGATAAGAGTAATATGCACCGTTTAAAGTATGTGAATTTAGGATTGTCAAACAGAATAAAATAAAATTGTTAACGTTGTCAAGACTCTTATAGAATGTTAAGTTGAATCAGCTTATATGTTGAGTGAAAATTTAAGGTCCATTATCAGAATAAATATGGATCAGATAGGGTGAGAGATATAATAGTGCAATTACAATCCGATCAAATGTTTAGTGGCAGACTATATTGTGTGAAAAAATTATTAGTAAGACAATAATAAAGTGGGATGAATGCGAAGTAAATGAATCATGTATTGGGGAGATTAATAAGGATGTTTCACCAATAATAATAATAATAATAATAATAATAATAATAATAATAATAATAATAATAATAATAATAATAATAATAATAATAATAATAATAATGGTACAAAGATTTGTGCATAAAGATAACAGAGACAATTACATTTGACTACGAAAGGTCGTAAGTACAATCGTCAAATGTAATTGTCTCTGTTATCTTTATACACAAATCTTTGTACCATTATTATTATTATTATTATTATTATTATTATTATTATTAAAATTATTATTACTGTTATCTTAAATTTTCACTTAGCATATAAGCTGATTCAAGTTAACATTCTATGCGAGTCAATATTACCAATTTTATTCCCGACCATTGTTACTACCTTGACGTGATGGTCGGTCTTGCCTATCGTGATGAAGCAACCGAGCTATACTGGCTGGAACAACCGTTCCTCAAGGTCCTACCATGTCAGACAGGTCGGTTGAAGAGCGGTAAAACTAAAAGCAACAAAACCAAGGTCCGAAGGCGAAGTCGTACTGCTGACTGTACAGAGGTGTGACAGCAGTAAGGTGTTTCCTTCAGACAACCAGCATGACAGCGATGCTGCCTTCCCACAAGGAGGGGTGGGGTTAGAAAAAGTCGACCCTAAAAATGCACACCTCGCCTTATCCCACGGATATCCGTCTCCGGCGGTAAGGTCTCAACAAGTACGGAGCTAACACAAAAATTACTCATAAAAAGGTCGTGTGTGACCGACCCCAAGCAGTTGTCCCTTGGGCAATGCGGTCACGCTCTCAGATCAGTAAAACCACCTCTAATGCGGTTTCCTTTTCAGGTACCTCCAAAAGAACCCTTTCACTGTGTTGGCAACTGGTAAGTGATAACTGCCCTGATACCTTTAACTGCACTCAACACCACTGTATTCATAATCGACCAACAATTTTATTATAAAACACAATTATATGAATGAAGAATATTCTTTTCAATAATATCTCATCAGGTTCTACAATTATAAATCCAAATTAAAAATCCATAAAGTTGACCAGATTTACGGCGGAGTACATTTAAAATTGTAACATGTTAATCAAGAATTCTTGTTTGTTATATAAAATCAAATCGTTATGTTGGGATAACTAGTATGAAATGTTAACTTGAATCAATTTACGAGCGAAATGAAATTGTGAGATAAATGATCAGAATAAATATGGTCAACATGGGGTGACCGAGAAAATAATGGAATAAAAGTCAGGAATTACGTAATATGTAGTACAATATGAATTAGGTCAGATATTGTAGATAGTGGTGGATGCTAAATAAATTTTTCAAAACGGTTATCAAGTGTAATAATAATAATAACACTTATAAAGATAATAATAATAAGTTTGGGGCATAAAAATGATCATTAATCAAATTACGTCATCATATGATAAGATTGATTATTAACTAGTTAGCCAGGGTAAAAGGAGCGGTTGAACATATTTCTTTTGGATGCCAATTTTATGGATCATTAATTTGGATTTATAATTGTTGAACCTTGTGAGAAATTATTGAAAAGGATATTCTTCGTTCATACAATTGTGCTTTAATATAATGGGAATTTCGCAGCGATTAAAATTTTATCAGAAGGGGTTTTGTGGAGATTTTAGTAATTTTAATAGTTGAAATCATGAATCAATAGCAGCTAGGCATTTCCTGGAGTTTTAGTGAGAAGCCCTAACCAATGGAGTTCAACCAGGTCTGTTGTGAGATATCAGCTCACTGAAGACAATGGTAGACGGTGGCGCAATATCGTGGATTAGTTGTAGTTAGACATTAACACCGTTGGATGCCGGCCGGCCCAGTGGTCTACTAGTCAAGCGCTCGGGTGCGAGACTGATAGGTCCTGGGTTCGAATCTTGCAGGGGGCGGGATCGTGGATGCGCACTGCTGAGGAACCCCATACTAGGACGAAACGGCCGTCCAGTGCTTCCCGGTTTTCCATGGTGGTTTAGCTTCAATTGACTCATGATTTCAACTGTTGAAAATTTTTATTCTATTCTGTTTGACAATCCTAAATTCACATACTTTAAACGGTGCATATTACTCTTATCCTGGCCATTTTTCAGATTATTAATTTGGATAGACAACTATAGAACCTGAAGAGAATTTATCGAAAAGAATATTCTGCGTTTAAATATTAGTCTTTTAATAATAGACTGGTTTACTGTTAATATTCACTGTTGGGAGCCTCTACAAGATTCAAGAGAAACAGGTATGGAGGCAATGTTTCTGAAACGTCCAAATACGCGTTGAAGAATCGCAGCCCGGATGTATTAAATGATGAATTCTATTATTAGTCTGATAATCTTTTCAATAGAGCACGCCCAACAGATATTTTGGTGCCAAGTGGACTCTTTAGTTTCAGGTTGGATAATAAGTAGCTAACACATAAATCTTTCTAAAAGGGATTGATATAAATAAGTTAAGTGCACCTACCATTATGACTAAATACCGACTCAAGCTGGGTTCAAGGCTTTTATATACTTTTAAACCATAGGCTTTTGCCAGCTTTTGTTGTGTTGGAGTAATATTTAACAACTGATGCTTATTTAAGATAAGATCTATATGCTGCTGTAATACCAATTTTTCCGTGTCATACTAATTCAGTTTGACGAGTATGGTAGTTATAAAATTTTCGATTTTCTATAGAATTATAATATGATTAAAAAAACTCACCTAATTTGTACGTTACAGCAGTAAGTCGCGTGTTGCTGCATTTGCATATTTTTAGCACATTTATCATTCACTCGTATAAAAAACAAATAGAAAAACTGATGTAATACTTATTTCTGTTACCCCCCATAGAGGAGTATAGGCCGCTCACCGGCATTCTTCATCGAACTGTGTCCTGGCAAATCCTTTCCAGTTTCTATTCATCCTTTTCACGATAGAAACTGTATCCATTGATTAGTGGGTTTTTATTACCGACCATATTGGTCTGCTTAGTGCATCCTATTGGTCATTTAAGCTAGTATCAATCTACTTATAAAGTCCTATCTACTTTTGTCATAGTACATGGTTTTTCGTTGATTAACATTACAGTCAGTCATACTATATTTTGAAATTGCAGCTAGCACTGAGATTCAAAAGGTCCGTTTCATCCTATGTAGGACCGGTCGGTTGTATGTACGTGGATTCTAGTGTTGTTGTGTTAGTATCGGGATTCGAACCTATTACTTATCACTTCGAATACCAAAGATATACCCACTAAGTAACTGAGTCCAAATAGCCACATGGTATTTACTCGTTATTTTGTATTTTCCCGAACTCCATTTGATCTGACTTTATTGGAATGTGCACACGCTGTTAGAATACCACAATACTAACTGTAGTTACATATTTTAGTATGTTTGTGTTACGTTGGTCTAAGACCTTAAAAAGATGAATAATTGACTTCATGCAGTATTTCACCTTGTTTATTATCTCTCATCTAACATTTGACTTTGAGAACTCGTGTAAGCACATACGTGGTATCTATGTATTCACCCAGACTATCACTTCCCTGTACTGGAAAATAGGCTCACGTTTTTGGATTCAACTATCTAAATTAAGATGAGATTACATCAGTTTGTGGAATATAAAGCGATAGTTACTGAATATAAGTTTCACTGTTAACATTAATGAAAGACGTGTTTTTAATCCAACTACTAGCCACAATCCAAAAAAATTAGAACGTATATCTATCGATAGTATCGAAGCATTTGCTCAAAGTATAAATATTCCACCAAATAATAATCAAATGCAATTCTGAATATCAATGGTTGGAGAACACCAATCTCTTCATATAATAATGATAAGTAGCTGTTGAAAAAAAAAGATAACGATCTTATTCTTGTTAGGCTTTTCTATTTCATTTCATTATGTACAGATCAACATTATATCTATTAACTGATCCTTTTAAATAAACAATTCGTGTCTTTTGAATCTAACAAGTAAGATTCTTCGAAATTTTATCAAATGGTTTAGCTTTCGATGTTTAATCACTATTGTTTTCCAATAGTTTTCTGAATTTTATATATTATGAATATTTGTCAACGGTTTACAGCAGTGGAATATCACTTTTTTCTTTAATACTACTGTTTTTACAATAGACTCAAATGGATGAAGATAGTTAATGAATCATATTACATACGATGAAATTCCAAATGTGTCCAAATGTATCTACTTCATTTCTTCCTGAATTAAATATTCGATCAAAATAATACTCACATTATGTACATTTCATCATACATATGATTCAGGTTAGAGATTGTTCAATTTTTTTTCCGTATTTCTGTGAAGAAAACAACATTACTAACCTTTTATGTACACACAATGCCTGTCTTTCGCCCTTCCTCATATGGAGTATTTTCTTCTTTTTTATTTGTATAATAGATATTACATTTGATTGAAAACTATTGAATCAAAGGTATTTTCAGATTCAGTTTAAAAAATCATTTCCCACAATTTTCAATGGTTTTACTTTAATCTTATCAGATATTTATCTTTCAATAATGAGAAGAATTCAAAGAAAATATAGTGATTATTGCTTTGTTATGCTTCAAATTTTTTTAAAATGGATTTTGTGAATCGCATTAACTGGGAATATCTATCTACATGATCTTATATTACCCTAATTGTTTTTCCTTTTTTTAGAAATTAATACATTGTTTGTAATCGCTATCAAAAGTATGAGTGGGGGAGCAGTGTCTCTGTCGTTAAGGGGTTCAGCTCCCAGGCAATAAATCCAAGGCTCAAGTACTGCTCCACTTTGGTTTAAGGAATCGTGTAGTATCACTAGCCCTTACACTCAGACTATGTGCCCCGACCGCAAGTACACTAATCTGTACCCGATAAATGAGTGAAATTTCAGTGTAAACTGTATTTATGTAACAAAATATGTGTATTTGTAAATGTTAAAAAGTAGTGGGATCCGTCAAGTTTGCTTTAATAAACACTTTGGAATAAAAATACATAGATCATCAGCTTGAATAAAAATGGTAATAATAATAATAAGAGATTAAAGGTAGAAAATTATTAAAGCATTATTTTTTATTACACTGTAATCATTTAATGTAGTTGAGTAAAGGACTATAGTTAGCGTGAAATAACAATGAGATTTTAATCACTAACAATAAAATGTGAATAGAATAAATGAACTTTGTAATTTTAGATGGGTACTTACTTACTTACTTACGCCTGTTACTCCTCGTGAAGGAGCATAGGCCGCTCACCAGCATTCTTCATCCAACCCTGTCCTGGGCAATCCTTTCTAGCTCCGTCCAGTTGTAATTCATCGTTTTCATATCTGCTTCTATTATCCGACGCAATGTGTTCTTTGGCCTTCCTCTTTTTCGCTTCCCTTCAGGATTCCAAGTTAGGGCTTTTCTCGTGATGCAGTTTGGTAATTTGCGTAATGTATGTACTACCATTTCCATCGTCTTTTCCTAATTTCTTCTTCAGCTGGAAGTTGGTTTGTTCTCTCCCACAGAAGGCTATTGCTGATGGTATCCGGCCAATGGATGTTGAGTATTTTGCGTAGACAGCTATTTATAAATACTTGTACTCTCTTGATTGTGGTTGTTGTAGTTCTCCAAGTTTCAGCTCCATACAGTAGAACTGCCTTGACGTTCGTATTGTAGATTCTCACTTTGATATTGGTTGAAAGTTGTTTGAGTTCCATATGTTCTTCAATTGTAGGAATGCGACCCTTGCTTTGCCGATCTTCGCCTTTACGTCTGCATCGGATCCTCCTTGTTCATCGATGATGCTTCCCAGGTATGTGAAGTACTCTACATCTTCCAGAGTTTCGCCATCAAGTGTGATTGGATTGCTGTTCTCCGCTTTGAATTTGAGGACCTTAGTTTTCCCTTTGTGTATGCTGAGGCCTACTGATGTAGAGACTGCTGCTACACTAGCTGTCTTCATCTGCATCTGTTCGTGTGTACGTGATAGGAGGGCTAGGTCATCTGCGAAGTCCAAATCGTCTAGTTGGTTCTGAGCTGTCCATTGTATTCCGTGTTTTCCTTCAGATGTCGAGGTCTTCATAATCCAGTCGAGCACCAGAAGAAAGAGGAAGGGAGAGAGTAAACAGCCTTGTCTGACTCCGGTCCTTACTTGGAATGCATCTGTCAGCTGTCCTCCATGCACTACTTTGCACTGTAGTCCGTCGTATGAGTTCCGGATAATATTGACAATCTTCTCAGGGACTCCGTAATGTCGAAGAAGTTTCCATAATGTCCTCCTATCTACACTGTCGAATGCCTTTTCATAATCAATGAAGTTGATGTACAATGACGAGTTCCACTCAACTGATTGTTCGACGATGATCCGTAGTGTTGCAATTTGGTCTGTGCACGACCGATCCTTTCGGAATCCAGCTTGTTGATCTCGAAGTTGGGCATCTACTGCATCCTTCATCCGGTTCAGCAACACTCTGTTGAAGACTTTCCCTGGTATTGACAGTAGTGTAATGCCTCTGTAGTTTTCACATTTGCTCAGATCTCCTTTCTTTGGAATCTTGACGAGGTGCCCTTCTTTCCAGTCCATCGGCACTTGTTCCTCCTCCCAAATCTTTTTAAATAGAAGATAAAGCATGCTTGTGGTTGCTTCGATGTCTGATTTCAGTGCTTCAGCTGGTATGTTGTCGGGTCCTGCTGCTTTCCCGTTCTTGATTTGTCTGACAGCCATTCTAATTTCTTCCGTAGTTGGTGGATTGACATCTATAGGAAGATCTATGTGTGCTGCTTCGATGTCCGGTGGATTCATTGGAGCCGGCCTATTCAGGAGTTCCTCGAAGTATTCTACCCATCTGTTACGCTGCTGTTGAATTTCGGTGCTTTTCCTGCCTTCTTTGTCTTTGACCGGCCCCTCTGGTTTACCGTATTTCCCTGCTAGTTTCTTCGTTGTATCGTAAAGTTGTTTCATATTTCCTTCTCTAGCAGCTTTTTCTGCCGTCGTTGCTAATTCTTCCACGTATTTCTTCTTGTCGGCTCTAATGCTCCTCTTCACTTGTTTGTTTGCTTCTATGTATTCAACTTGTGCTTGGACTTTCTCTGTTCGTGTTCGGCTGTTGTTTATTGCTGTCTTCTTGTTCTTACTTTCTTTGATCTTGTCCAGTGTTTCTGTAGAGATCCATTCCTTATGATGGTGTTTCTTTAGACCGAGAACCTCTTGACACGTTGAAGTTAATGCTTCCTTGATGCCTTTCCAGTAGTTTCTTCTTCTTTCAGTAGATCTTGTAAGGCTTGGAACCTGTTGTTGAGAGCTATCTTGAATTCATTGAGTTTGTCAGTATCTCGAAGGAAGGCTGTATTGAACCTTTGTATTGCTGTTTGTCCACTTGTTAGGATAGTCGGAAAAATATACCAATAATTGTCGTGTTAAGTCTACGGTGGCCTTGGACCTTAAATATACATTTCCTATTGGTCGATGTTTATTTCACTTTTTAAATATTTTTTAAATGTTGTTTCCTATTTTATGGTACGATGTGGTATGCTTGATTGGTATATAAACAAAGTATGTTTGAAATATAATGATTCATATTTCAGAGGTTGTGACTTGTGTTCTTGACTCAACTGGCTAGGACAGACAGCGAAGCAGGGCCAATCAGGGCACTAGGTCGTCCTTACGTGTTTTCCGTGTCACTGTAATAGATCGATCGATCGTTATAAACGCTGCGTATCAAACCCTGCAGTCACACACCCGTTACAACACCACTTGTCCAGTTCTTTTTTAGCTTCAGTTTTAAATTGGCTACAACTAGGTGGTGATCTGAAGCTACGTCAGCACCTCTCCTGGTTCTCACATCTTCAATTGTCCTTCGGAATTTTTTGTTGATGCAAATATGATCTATTTGGTTCTCTGTAGTGTGGTCCGGTGAGATCCATGTAGCCTTGTGTATACGTTTGTGTGGAAATATTGTGCATCGGCCTCGTGGCTTCCGAAGGAGCTCGGCTTTCACCATGAAGCGTCATAATTCTTCTAAATGAAGACCTTCTAACTCCCAGGGCAGAGTTAAAATGGTTTGGATTATTTTTTCTGGTAAGCGTTTTTTTAGCGAGTTAGTTTTCTACGGGATGGGGACGCTAACCCCATCACAATTGATTGATCACTGGGTGGTGATCAATCTCATGCTTGTCTAGTCCTTATTAGTGCAGATCGAATGCTATCGATCATGTTGCAATGTGGCCACCAGTCTAGGTGACTCGACACTGCGGGCACTATGTAATGAGATTACAGAGTGCCCGCAGTGTCGAGTCACCTAGACTGGTGGCCACATTGCAACATGATCGATAGCATTCGATCTGCACTAATAAGGACTAGACAAGCATGAGATTGATCACCACCCAGTGATCAATCAATTGTGATTACATCTCAGTCCTACAGGAGGTTAGTCACGGCTCGGATAGCTCAGTGGTAACGTCTCTGACTGTGAAGCTGGGTGACACGAGATCGAATCCGCCAGGGAGCACCAGTTCCCTCAAGATTACAGGTACACCTTGCTGACGAGTGCCAAGTAGCACGAAACCTGGGTCCAGGGTTTCCTGTTGACTACCTCCAACCACCATCTAATCTCACGCTAACCCCATGCCCAACCCTCCTCCTTTACCCGGGCTTGGGACCGGCAGCAACCCTATAAGAGCTACAGGCGGAGTTAATTTTAGATGGGTATAACAATATTATTAAGTAAAAGGATTATCTGGTCATAATCAACTTATATACACCATTTCTATACATACCAAATATATTTGACCTCAATTAATATGTATTTACTGGTAAATAAGCGAGCCATCATTGCTGTGTTCTTTTTTATAGAACATACTTAAATGAGACCTAAAACGTAATAGTGGATATTCCTTAATAAATTACCCGTATCTAGTTTTTCCAAAAGCAAATTAAAGTATGTGTGCAGATTGAATTGATTTAGCACGATAACTTATCCCTCATACAGTTAACATAAAGTACTTATAAAGAGACTTTGTAGTGAAATCACCAACATGTAGTAATTAAAATATAATTTTTTAAACTGCATACACGAGTAACATTCGGATGAGCTTTGGTTTATCCAATGTAAATCTCACATCTAAACATGTGAAATAACCAATCTCAATAAAATGTCATTTCATTTATATTC